CGAGCAGAAGATTAGGGATTGTGTCTGATGAAAAATAAATAAAAACACAAGACAAAGGTACAATTGCCCGCAACCATTGCTTGCTTCTCAATGGAAGTTTTCCCTATAATAGAATGCGAAGGCCATGAGGAAACTAACAGGAAGGAAAATTGTAAAGAAGCGTAGACGGCTGTGCATGCGATTCATAGTGCCATGCCTAAAAAAAATCATTGAAGAACTTTTAAAAACTTACAAAGTTTTTATATAAAAATATGCTTGACAGATGATTCTTTAAAGTTCTATAAACGACTTGAAAATACCTGACAAATAAAATAAGATTTGAAACTTGTTAGCAAAACTTACGGCACATAGTGAGGAATATCAGCCTGGCTATCGTAAACATGCATTAAAACCAACAACTTTTTCTGCAGTTTCGTTGGAATCACACCAAGACCTTCAATTACTATTAGATTAGTATTTCAAAAGCATAAGGACAAGCATTGAGTAAAAATTCTAACTTGTGTCGTCCAAAGTCCTCTCAGCTTTAATTTGCTCGACAAAAGTTGGCCGTGTAAAGAAGGCTGGATAGCCATTTCTTACAATCGACGGGCCGTCTCTCTAAACAAATGTGATGCTCACATAAAATATTCTTTTTTGGAAATTTTCTGTTTTTAATTTAATGCTACCGAGCCTATATCAAAAAGAAATTTTAAAAAAAACTTTTGCGTCCTATTGCAGTTTCTTTTTCCCACTTAATAATAGAAGAGGAACCCATAGATTTCTAGACGTTTTTCCTAATAAAATCGCTAAAATAGAGAACCTTAAGGACTGGATCGTATGCTCCGCTGATCTTGTTTCTCACATCGTAGCACATCCTAACCGAAATAGAAGACTGAGCCTGACGGCGCAAGAATGGAACCAGGGATACTCGAGCGCAAGATCCAAACATCTCTTGAACAAATTTACTGAATTTAACGAAAAAGTTAAGGAAAAATGAGCATGAAATAGGAATAAAATATTGTAATTTGAAGACAGTGGTTTCTAACAGAAACATGCGAAAAAAATCGTAGAAAAAGGAAAAATTATGCCTTGTAAAGCAACTTAAATCTACTTAGAAAGAAAACGTAACTTTTTGTTGGGAAATTATAGTAGTCAATAATATTAATCAGTAATATTAGGAGAAGAGAAGTGGGTACTGGAAGGAGAGAAGTGAAGATACCCTGCTATCCACAACTGACACATCGATGGAATTGG